GTCCCTAGCTTGGTTGGGATGTCACTTTACAGACAGCAAGGCTCTAATTCAACAGTATTCTAATAAAGCAGTGCAGTACAAAAAATTGTTCTGAACATGAGCCAGCAGTGTGCCCAGGTGGCCAAGAAGGCCAACAACATCCTAGCCTGTATCAGGAACAGTGTGGTGGGTAGGACTTGGGAGGTGATTGTCCCCCTGTACCGGGCACGGGTGAGACCCCACCTCGAGGTCTGTGTCCAGTTTTGGGGCTCCCACCACAAAAAAGGCATTGAGTTGCTGGAGTGTGTCCAGAGGAGGGCAATGGAGCTGGTGAGGGGTCTGGAGCACAAGTCTTGTGAGGAGAGGCTGAGGGAGCTGTGGGTGTTCAGCCTGGAGAAAAGGAGGCTGAGGGGAGACCTTCTCACTCTCTCCAACTCCCTGAAAGGAGGGTGTAGCCAGGGGGGGTCGGTCTCTGCTCCCAAGAAACAGGCGATGGGACAAGAAGAAACGGCCTCAAGTTGCCCCAGGGGAGGTTCAGATTAGAGATTAGGAAAAATGTTTCCATGGAAAGGGTTGTGAAGCCTTGGAATAGGCTGCCCAGAGCAGTGGTGGGGCCACCATCCCTGGAGGTATTCAAAAGACGAGTTGACATACTGCTTAGTGACATGGTTTGGTGATGGTTTTTATCAGAGTTAGGTTGATGTTTATCACAGAATCATAGACTGGTCAGAGTTGGAAAGGGACCTTAGAGATCATTGAGTTCCAACCCCCCTGCCATGGGCAGGGACACCTCCCACCACACCAGGTTGCTCCAAGCCCCATCCAGCCTGGACTAAACCACTTCCAGGGATGGGGCAGCCACAGCTTCTCTGGGCAACCTGTTCCTGTGCCTCACCACCCTCACAGTAAAGAATTTCTTTCTGGTATCTAATCTAAATCTCCCCTCTTCCCATTTAAAACCATTACCCCTTGTCCTGTCACTGCACTTCCTGACAAAGAGTCCCTCCCCAGCTCTCCTGTAGCCCCTTCAGATATTGGAAGGGGCTATGAGGTCTCCCTGGAGCCTTCTCTTCTCCCCAGTATTCTCTCTGTATTTATTAACCCCAGCTCTCTCAGCCTGTCCTCATAGGGGAGGTGCTCCAGCCTCTGATCATCTTCGTGGCCCTCCGCTGGACCCGTTCCAATAGGTCCATGTCCTGTCCTGTTGAGGACTCCAAAGCTGGACACAGCTCCAGGTGGGCTGTCACCAGAGCAGAGTAGAGGGGTAGAATCACCTCCTGTGACCTGCTGGGCACACTTCTCTTGATGCAGCCCAGGATGGGGTTGGCTTTCTGGGCTGCCAGTGCACATTGCCAGCTCATATTGAGCTTCTCATCCACCAACACGCCCAAGTCCTTCTGGTTATGTTGTCTGGTTGGACTAGATGATCTTAAAGGTCCCTTCCAACCTCAACAATTCTATGTTTCTGTGATTCTATGATGACTCTTGTTCAGGTTATTCCAGATAAACTTGATGGACTTACACTATTTGAAAATACTTGTGTGTTTTCTTCATACGTTGCACTTGCCGTGGGTTAGCACTACCATTCTAGCTGTTGTTGGAACATTTGTAGCATTGACTTCATGTCAGGTATTGGTAACGTAGAGCAAAATCGCATACTACAATTTTTTGGTCACATTTATAGCTCTGTTTAATCGATGAAGTCTGTAGAAATCTGTGTATGTGTGCATTTGTTTCAGAGTCAGAATACATGATAAGGTGACTAGTTTGGTTTGAAGGCTAGCACTGTAATACAGCCACAAGCTTTGTGGTCAAACTTCCAGTACCACTTTGCAAACAAGAACATGAAATATGTACATATGTTCCCCCAAGTGTGCAGAAGTCTGTAGGGTTTGGTTGTGTTTTGTTTTTTAAATGTAATGACCATTTGCTTGTGAAGCTCTCACTTCTGTAGTTGCATTAATAGGATTATGATGAAAATGCAACCTTGTTGTCTCATGTGAAACCCTGAAACCAGAATATTTCTTCTGTCCAATTACTTTAAGTGTTGCTGGGCATGGATTTCAAGAGGCACCTAATATGCATAAGATATTTTGTGATAGAATACTAAGTTTGCATGGGAAAGCAAGATATGTACAAGTAAATATATGTTCTCTTGGCAATAAACTTATTTATTGTAAATATTTCTTCAGGTGAATAGTAACTTTTTTTTTAGGAAGTATGCTTGCTGTAGGTAATGCAAAAAGTAGTCACAGAGAAGATGTTTTTAAAATAATGATCTAAGTAATTGTATAGAATACCACATTTAAAATAATCTGTATTTATTAACAGAAACTAAATGATGATATTGGTGAATGGTGTGGTCAGTACATGCAAGTGAAGATCACTGGGGCTTGAAAGTGATGCCTGGAATGAGGGCATCCTGCCTATAGAAAATGAAGTTCCTGCATTTATCTATAAACAACCATTCACGGAGCTTTATAATTTTCCCCCTGTTCATTTCTGCACCATCAGACTGTAGTTGATTCGACATCTGTCTGTCAAAGAGAGGAAATCCAACCCTCTCATCTAATTTCTTCTATTTGTCATTTAAACAAATATCAGTGAGGGATTCAACAAACTGCTGTGTTCACACAAACAATGCATAAAATACTGTGTGCTTCTTTCATCCTCATTTCAATATCAAGTCCTCCCTCCAGTGGCTGCTGTCACAGTTTTTTACTTTGTCAAAAAGAACTGGAAATCCTCTCTCGCAAAACTAAATTCAGATTTGTTTGTTTATTTACTTTGGTGCTTCTGGCTTGGCACGTGAAGCTGTTATCTGCTTTTTCCTCCATGTCGGGGTCTTCATCTGTTAAAGGAATAAGAAGGGTATCCATCGAAGAGGCAAGAATAAGAATTCTTAAGCCAGGGACTCTTGGTTGTTGCATTGATTTATCTCGTTAGGGGCTGAGGGTTAGGTTATCAAGATACATCTTCGCAGATAAATTTTATTTCTGTTGGGTAATAACAGGTCTTTGAGCACCTTTATGTATTTTGTAACTGCGTGAACTTGCCTATATCCAATGATGAATTTTCAGATGTTGTGTAGGGAGGACTATTGCATTTGTATGACTAGAATGACTAGAACAGCTTTCATCTGGGCTCTCATAAAGCACTATCACTAATTTTCTAGCACTTCTGATAACTTTAATTAAAAGTGGGTTAGTTTATTTTCTAAATGGCGTTCTAGAATGTACATGGTTCTGTGCTGCAAATGTACAAACAGATGATGGACAAGATTTTGTATTTTGTGTACTTTTGTCTCTGGACTATTTGGAAGCATCTGAGAGAAGTCTTCAATACCATCCATGTGTGTGAATGGAGATTTCAGTAATTTTAATATTTACATTGACTATATGCTGGAAAATACCAAAAAAGTCTCTGTGGTTTTGCTTTATTTGTGTTGATTACTTTTGTTATGAGTGCTAATGTGACTAAAGCATTATCCCAAAGATGCACATTTTAACTGAATCTTGTTGAGTTGTGTCACAATTTAAAAAATATGCAATCTAAGCAGAGCTTTCCTGGTGGAGTTGTGTCTTTAAAAGACGTTTGGCAGTGTACTGTCATTTCCCATCAGCTTAATCTGAGCAGCCTTCTCCAAAGGGAGGTGTCAAAGTATCCCATAGGTCCAATTTATAGAATGGATTATTGGATTTTCTTGAACCCCACCCCATACAAACAATGCCCCCCAAAGCCTCTCCTTAGGTAATTATTACTCCCTTTAATTGCTGTATTTTTCCTTAATCTACAAGAAAATGTTTCATGTATTAGGTTTTCTCTAAAGACAATAGAAAAATAGTCTTTATTATGCTTTATTTATTTTTATTTTTTTTTTTCTGCTGCCCTTGCAGTGGGCTGCTGTTACTTAAAATAAAGCATTTTGGGGTTCTTTGTCTTACAGGTGTTAAGTATTAGGGAGCCAGTAGTAGTTGGTGAATCCTATCACTCTGTGAAAGTTACAAATTGGTACAGAGGTATAGTTCATGCAAACTCATCCATGATAAAGTATATTGGGGAGAAGAGTGAAGCAAATTGGCAATGACTGACAGATAAAACAAAGAGCCGAAAAAGATGAAGAAGAGTTCAATGCACAGAAGTCTCTTTTTTTGCTGAGAGGGAGGAAGCGGTGGTTGCGATGTGGTAGTTTGCTCCCCTGGTGTCAGATTGGGGATGAAAGGGATTGCAGAGCTGAATGTGTGGTTTGCCTCCTGTGCAACAGGAAAAATTCAGAAATATGTTTTTCATGTAAATCCTCACCTTGAATATATTATTTGTTCCTTAGCTGGACAGTCACTCTATACATTTCGGTGCTGATAATGTATTGCAGAAATCACAGTGGTTTAAAACTGTGTGGTCTGTGTTGTTTTACTAAAACAAAACTGTACAGTACTGTGAGAACAATAAAGTAGAGTTAATTGATGAAGAAAACCCTTAAAGATTGTAGAAATTCTGTTGGCTATGTTTTCATTTTTCTTGCATCTTCTACTACCTCAAAAGTGTGGTGCTTCTCCAAAAGGCTTCTCATTTGCTGACATTACCTTAGAATCACAAAAAAAGAAGTCTCGTTTAGAGAAGTCTCGTTTAGAGAGTTTTCCTTTTAGGATTAGGTAGAAGTTAGGGTTCATTCTTGTGAACTTGAATCTTTGACAAAACTTGATACTGGAGCTTGTGTCACACTTTAGGGTAAATTGTCTTAATCCAGGATAGTGTGATGAGACTTTAGAGTGTCCAGTGCAACTTCTGAAAGAGAGGAAAAAGTTAAGTTCAATTTTACCTTGCACTTCTCTTGGGTTTATAACACTGAGGGAAGTTCTACTTTTAAAACAAGTTCTGGATTTTTGTGATGTAAGCACTAGCAAATGAGATCTGTTGAAGTAGAGGTCAGTAAATTTGTTAATTTCCAACTTTTGTTGATTTTCAGATTGTCCTTTGAAGATTAATGTACATTTACTTCAGTATTTTAAATCTGTTGACAGTTGGGGTGATGATGGCTCAGCTCCAGCAAGGAGGGCCCGATGAAAAAGAGAAGACTACTGCATTAAAGGGTATGAGTCTTTTTGCCTTATTTTTACATATATTGACATTTCAGGAACAATTACTAAGGAAAAGAAAATTGTTTGATGTAACTATGTGTTAGAGTCTGGGAGTCACAATACTGGAAGAGACTATTAGTCCATCTATGCTAATGCTTTTTGTCTAATGGTGTGTCCATTATCAGTATTTTCATAAGAGGATATAAAAAATAATGATCTGTGGTAACAGAATAAGATATCCATTAGTTTTTTTAATTTTCATAATTATCCTTTGAGAAAGTTGACTGGTGCTCTTGTGTTCTTAGTTTCTGGGAGTTATCATTTAATTTTTATGCCACTTATGTTTTATAATTATGCAACCATATTACAGCTTTTTAAAATGTCTTTGACTAGAATGTTAGCAGGGAAAACATTTTCAGGACATTGATTACCATGTTGATTTTATAAAGTTTTCTTTGCATTGTATGTTTTAAAAAACTAAATGGACCTAAGTGACTTAGCGGAGCAATTTTCTTGAGAAAAAAATAAATTAAAGAAATGACAACTTTTAATTAGTGTTTTTCAATTTTGGAAGTACATGCAGTTGGTTAGACAACCAAGCATTGGATTAGAAGTGCTTGCGTCACACTCTTACTCTCTGTCTTTCAAAAGAGAAAAAAGAATACATCTTGCAACTCAATGCAAAAAACTTAATTTCTACCAAAGTACTATTAGGAATACATGTTCTAGTTTGCTCCAACGGTAGGTGACGTTTCTTCAGTTACAACTGTGTTTTTGTGAAACGTTTGGTGAAAGTGTATGTGGTGCTTTTTTCAAACCTTGTACCAATTTGCTCAAATTAGTATATTTTGAGGAAATTACACTTCGTGTTTGGAAAAGTAAAACTCATTTTATACTTGGTATTAATTTGATTTTCATTAAGGATTAGTGTCTGAGAAACATTCCACATAACGAAAACTTTCTGTGAGGTGGTTGTTTTCTTCACGCAATGTAGTGACCAACCATTGAGCTGCAGAAGGTCTCCTGCAGATCACTCAGTTTTGGGCTGCGTTGAGCTAGTCTCAAATGAGTTGGAGAGTCTGAAGATCTCAGACAAGAATGGTGGATCAGATCTTGAAGGAATCTCAAAAGTTATAAGAACACTTTAGCTAGTTTTAACTTGAAAAATTGCACAGGAGACAGTGGTTGTGTCAGTGGTTGGAGGACAGACCAGTTGCAGTCTCTTTGAGTGACTCTGGTGGAATCTGTAAATCATGACAAGCTGTACATACTGCCGGTAAGCTTAATGTAGTTCCTATAGTATTGCCCTTGTTCCTTAGAAAATGGATATTTTATTATGTAGCAACTGACACTGTGCTGGTTAGCTTAATGTAATTCATATATAGTATTGCACTTGCTCCTTAGAAGATGGATATTTTATTATGTAGCAACTGACACTTTTGTGTAAACACATTTCCAAATAGGTCACATGAGAAGTCATGAAAACTGTGGTGAAATTAAATTCTAGAGGTGTGGTCTGGCTGTAGTCTCTTCACCAAGGAAAGACATACTAAAGACTGTTTTGCTACCTGGATGTTGTAAAAGTAGAGGAAGAAAGAGTGTGTCTTTTATGTCCTGTTGCTGAAAAACTTCTTTGACAAACTTCTTTTCCTTTCCCTATCATTTGGTTGAGGGCCGAAGCAGAGCCCCCAGAACTTTCAAAGGACAGTGCACAAGAACAAACATACGGTTGAATGTCATGGGACTTGATATTAAACAGATTTGATGTAAAAGTGGGCTATGGTTGGAGAAAGCCACATCTTCCAGTCAACATCCACTGCTGTATAGCTGTTTAGATGTAAAAGTGATGTAAAAGTGGTTGAGAAAGCCACATCTTCCACTCAACATCCACTGCTGTATAGCTGTTTAGATACCACAGAGATGCCCAGATACTATAGTGTGGCTTGGAGAGATTTTGAATTTCAGTGGTCATACAAGATGGCCTTTGGTCCTCCAGCTTCACCTGGTGAAATCACTTAAAGAAGGAGGAGCTGGAGACAATCATGTGGATGCTGCAGTGAATGTTGTTTGAACCTGAATTTCACTGAATTTCACTGAATTTCGAGAAGGAGGAGCTGGAGACAATCACGTGGATGCTGGAGTGAATGTCATGTGAACCTGAAGAGCTATAGAAGAGCAGGCCAAGGAACTCTCAAAAATGTTGAAGCTGATTTCAAAATTTAGAAATTTAGAAATTTCAAAGGATTATCGTACCAATACTAAGCTTAGGTAACGCGGGTAACCTATGGGCTTGTCACTGGCAACAAGACTAAGCGAAAATAGCGATAAAAAACCCATTCAAATAATGATTTTAGCTAGTTAAAGGAGGGAAGTGTAGTTAATGTCAAACAATGCAAGTTTAAAGAAAATTAGTCTTTTCAAACTGTTTTCTTTCCTTTGAGCTACAGCTTTGGATGGTAAAGGTAATAAACCAACATACTTAGAAAACTTAATGTATTTCCTTGGTAATACATGGTACCTTGATTTATGAAACAATAGTAGCTAAAAGTCAGTATAGCACTTTTATGTGGTCTTCAAATTCATCTGTGAGGAAAAAGGAAAATAAATTTCAGTGTAATCCTGCTGAGCCATTTCTTGATGATTTTTAATTAATAATCAGAAATTATGTTAAAATGATGGCAGTGGGTTGTGTGGGTGATGAGCAATGAGTATTATCTGAGTATTATCTTGTTTAGTAGTTAGTTGTAACCAAAAGGTGTTTCTATATGTTTATCTCTGGTTAAATACAAATCCTTAAATCTGGGTTAAAGAATGCAGACTATACTTATTTTAGTGTACTTGCATTAGTGAATGCATCCTGGTCTGAAAACTAGGATGTGTGTGTCATGGATGGCAGTCCTCTCTGCCTTGAGAGTTATTAAAGGAGGGTGGTTGAGAGAAAACTTGGTCTGTTTGGGTATTGTGACCACACAACTGGTAAACACCCATGAGATGATGTGCATTTTGTAATTTGAACTCTTCAAGAAGGCAAAGAAGAGTATATCAATGATTTGGTAAATTCATGTTAAAACCACAATGCATACCAGAGACATATTTCTAACATTGAGGATAATGAATCCTTGAAACAAATCACTATGTCTTTGGTGGATTCTCTGTCCTTGGGCATTTTTGTGATCAACATCAGAGATATATAAATAAATGAAGAAATAAATACATAAGAAGATGTACTGACAATAAGGCCCAGCTTTTGAATCTGGAATGAGACTTCCCATAACAAAGTCCTATGTTTAGTAATATGTGGGATGTCCTTCTGCCCTTAAGATGTACAAATCTGAGCAAACACATTTTCTCAGTGATAATAGGGAAATAAAAAAGATGTAGCATGCATTATGTAATTTTTCTTTTCCTTTTTTAGATTTATTGTCTAGAATAGACTTGGATGAACTGATGAAAAAAGATGAGCCACCACTTGAATTTCCCGATACTCTGGAAGGATTTGAGTATGTCTTTAATGAAAGTAAGTCATATATGCTTTGTAAAGGCTATACTTAGAATAATGTTGAGAGGTTATCAGAACTTTAATTATGTCTTATAAGTCCCTATTAGAATTTCACACTTTTCTGTTAAGAATAAAATTTTAAGCCTTAGTGTTAACAGGCTTGTAAATCTAGCTAAGTAATATTTTTTTATTTCATAAAATTGTCACAAAAATCCCTCGTTTTATACAATGCTGTAGGTTTTGTGTGAGCCGATGCAGGCAGGACGCAGGAACAACCACAAAACCATAGATGAAGGGCAAAGAACAAATTTAATCTCAACACCTCATGGTTTGAGGAACCTCTGAAGCAGCCCCCGGGCAGAGGCAGGCAAGCAGGGGCTGCAGGCCTTATTAGCAAGAGAGACCTCGTTAGCCAGGGAGTGAGGGAGCGAGGGAGCTCCCACTTGCTGTTTGGGGCTGGATTTCAAGGATTCAGGCAGGCAGAGTTTTCTGCTGGGCTTTCATGTCTCCAACAGGCAGGTCAAGAATCCCAGGCGTGTTTGATAAGGTGCCCCTGAGTCCATCCCAGGTCTGTGTTATCTGAGTGCAGATGTTCTACTTGTTGAGCACACAAAACTAAGCAACAATGAGTGTGATAGATGTGTTTTCCAGCACCCACACGCGAGTCACTTGAGCGTGTTTGCCGTCCTCCTCGCCAATCTTCCCTTACTTTCCCACAGTTTGTGCCGTGCATATGTTATGTCTTCTTGTTCCCTCTGACAGAAGTGTTGACACAAAAATTCTGAAAGTAATTTCTGTAACATTAGCATTAGAAAAGCAAAATCAAAGAGTGGTCGCTCGTTTTATTTACCGATTCATTTTTATGGGTGCAAAAGAAGTTATTTAGATAATATTTTATCCCAGCTATTTCTTGAATACCAGTAGGAAAGCACCTGTTTGTATTGATGGAGGGATGAGCAATGACTTACTCTCCTGGTGTGGGTCTCGGCTCTGCATTACAGCAAAGTGTGTGATGAGTACAAGTACTTCCAGCTCGCTGAGTCGGTGTGTTAAATGAGTTAGTAGTATTTATAATTTCCATTGCATACATTTTAAAATCCAGCTGAGAAATGAGCTGCTGAGCTAAAGTAATACCAGACTCCAGGAAATGGCTCTTTCAACGTTGTTTGAAACCTGTAGGACAAATGGGGACGTTTACAATTCTCCTTCTTTGCAGTGCCTGTTCTGTGAACAGAAGAACTTTAGTTTCTAAATCTGCCTGTCTTACATCTTCCACTTTTAAAGAAAAAAAAAAAAAAGAGCTTTCCTTTAAATGATAGTCATTTATGCAACACTTAGCTTTTTAATACCCTGATGGCTTTCACAGGAAGGTACTTAGAGACTAAAAGTGTCATGAAAGTGATGCTCTTTCTTTGATGGGAGGGGTTCAGCTCTGTCACTTTTCAGCTCCTTATTTTTAGATCTGCACAGTGTCTACTGTCTTCCTTACTGACTTCAGAGTTAATGGTTCATATGTGGTTGATAAAAAGGGCTGAAATTTGAATTTTGGGGAATGATGTTTTAGAATGGTGTTATTGAATATTCCATCACTAACTTCACAGCCTGAGTGATTTCCGTAGAATTCAGCAAGCCCTGTTACACGTGCTGCAGGTCAGCAAAGCAAAAAAGGTCTCCATTTTGCTGTTGTGCATTTAATCCGGCTGTTCGCTCATGTATTCTTATGTCATAATCATGCATCTGTTTATTTACCAGATTTAAAGAATCTGAGGGAGACAAGGGTTCCAGAAAGCCAAAGAAAAAAAATATGCTGTATATTTGCTCCAATTTACTTGTGGAGAGAGCAACTTCGTGTACTATTGAGTGGCATAAATATGGCTGAGAAGTAACATAGAGAGAGAGTAAATAGCTGAGAAGAAACAGCTGAAGCTAGAGTTGTCATGAAAATATGAGAAGAAGGATATATGGACCTGAGACAGGGATATGAAGTTGGGGAGAAATATTTTCCTGGTGTCTAGTACTTGAGGTAAGACAGGTTCCGGAAAAAAATTTTCAAATAAGCAGATAAGCATAAATATGAGACATATCAGGTCTTAAATATTTTATTTAAAACATCAAGAATCAAAATATAAAGGTCCTAAAAAGGTGTGAACTAAGGTAGCAATTTCTTACTATTCGAGAGGAAACATTTTGCTGAGAAACCTTGCTTTCGTCATGTAGACATTTCAGCTTTCAAAGGAGGTACTTCTACATATCCTTGTTTTTAAGGTTAGCCTAATTTCCTGCAGTTTTGTGATTGTCTGAGATCATAACTTGTGTTTTGTTTAATAAGCTGAAATATTACTGGTAAGATACCTGTTTTATGCAGTTTTCCTCCTATTATTGTTTTAACTCAGCCTGTGTCTTTATCTGTAGTTGGGATGCCGCGTAACTTTTGCTGTAAACGGTTGCCTATTGTTGTTTTAACTCAGGCTGTGTCTTTATCTGTGGTTGGGATGCCGCGTAACTTTTGCTGTAAACAAGGCCAAATGCAGAAAGTTACACTGGAATCTAAGAATAGCATGTGGTTTTGCTCTGATCAAGAATTCTGCTTTATTCTGCTGTTATAATCTCAGTGTTCCCTGAATCTCAGAGCTCTTTCTTGATTGCACTGTGCCTAGGGGTTAAGATATTTACCTTAACTGTGGACATGGTTTTTTTCAGATTGATTTAGAATGTTGTTAATCTCGAAAATAAATGTTTCCTTTCCTTCCAGCCTCCAGCCCATTTTCTTCTCACTTTTCTTCCTAAATGCAGTTGGGTTTTGAAGTAGGGGATTTGTAGCTACAATTTGATCACCTAATTGACACTGCAGATCAAATATTAACTGCTAATGTTTACATTTCACTGCTAATCCATAGCAGTTGAGACACAAACATTTCCTGCAAAGCAGTTTGGCATTTGGTATCTGCATGTAATTTCACTGTCATCACTTGTGTTTAGCTTTATCTGGCATTCAAAGGGAATGCATTTTGTTGTTATGCTACAATTGTATTCCTTCAAAAATGAGAGGGAATCCTAATAGGGAACTCAATTTGTAGATTTAGGCTTCTTTTAAAATTTTCAGCAATTAAATGTTTCTTACTTTTAGTGAAGAAGTATATTAAAACTTACTTGTTTTGTTTCTTTTGCAGAAGGGCAGTTAAGACACATAAAGACAGGGGAGCCGTTTGTTTTTAATTATCGTGAAGATTTGCATCGATGGAACCAAAAGCGCTACGAAGCACTTGGAGAGGTATATAAGTTGTGTGCATTGTATGCATGCGTGTGAGCATTGGTGTGCTGTGGCTTTTGTTGTGTTTCTCTGCAGCAGTGATAATTTTATATATGTTAATAAAAATTCAGTCATTTAGCAAAAGGTATTTCAGGATTTGTTGTGTGTTAATACTCTAACAGTAATTGCCATTACTTGCTGTACAGTTTAAGGTGCAATTTAAACTGTAATTTGACTTAAGTATGTGTTCAAAATAGATTATCATCTAGATTACACAAATCAGAGCGTATTACATAGTGCAGTATTTTCTTCAATTTTCTTCTCCTCAAGGGGAAGCACTGGGTAAAAAAGCTTTGGCATTTTACTTTCTAGCTGAAGATAAATACATTGGCTGGCTTTCTCATGTTACCAGGAGATACCAGGAGCCGCCAGATTGATTCAGTAGAGATCTCATGATTAATTGATTAAATATTTGATGGTGTATTAGATATTTGCTTACTTTGATACCGGTACTTCCCAGGCTTTTTGTAGGAATATTGTGGATGTAGTAGGTGTAGAAACAAGTGACCGTGGCTCGTTTTCTGTGTGAAAATGACTTTAATTTTAGTGGTGTGCTTATTGTAGTCCTTTCGGAGTCGTGAAGAAAGGCATCTGAGCTCAGTGGGTGCATCTGACCTCGTGGCTTGTCTGCTTTCATTAGTGTTATTGTTTTAGTAGGGATTAAACACAGTTATTCCCCACTTACTCTTTCTGTTGCATTAATTCATGCCTCTCAGAGATATGTTTGACTCTGCATGTTTAGACATTTTGCCTTTTGAACTTCCTGGTTGTCCTGGTTTAACCCCAGCAGGCACTTTATCCGCCCCCTCAGCTGCTCTCTCCCCCGCTGTGGGATGGGGGAGAGAATCAGGAGGGTAAAAGTGAGACAGTTCCTGGGCTGAGATAGAGTTTAACAGGTAAAGCAAAAGCCACACATGCAGGCAAAGCAACAGTTTAACAGGTAAAGCAAAAGCCACGCACACAGGCAAAGCAATTTAAGGAATTAATTCACTGTTTTCCACGAGCAGGCGGGTGTTTAGCCATCTCCAGGAAAGCAAGGCTGCTTCGTGTGTGATGGGGACGTGGAAAGATATTGGAAGATAACTCCAAATGTCCCCCCTTCATCCTCCTTTCCCCCAGTTTTTCGTGTGTGATGGGGACAGATATTGGATGGATGATGGAAAGATATTGGAAGATAACTCCAAACGTCCCCCCTTCATCCTCCTTTCCCCCAGTTTTTATTGACAAGCATGACATCCCCTTGGCATGGAATGTCCCTTTGGTCAGCTGGGGTCAGCTGTCCTGGCTGTGCCCCCCCCGAGCTGGTATGCTTGTGTACTAAAGAGTAAAAAAGAAAACTAAAATGTCTGAAATGACAGCCGCTCCTACTCTGCTGCAAAGTAGATAGTGTAAAGCATCTTGATTGAGTTTCTTGGATGGGTAAACAAGCATATACTTAAATTTGTCACCAAATGGTTTCATATAGTTTCTTGTGCTGCCAAGAACGCGTTTGTTTAAGCTGAAGAAATACCTAATTGCATGGCCTTTTCTAGGTATTCTGGGAGCTCCTGTAGGCACTGGGCGTGCAGGCTCAAGACATGAGTGCATGGCAGAAGTCTCTGCCTGTGCTGATTAATGGCAATAGCATATCATCTGCCCTTAATGGGTGCCACTGAGTGAGGAATGGTCTAAGAATTCCCACCAGCCTTAGTTTGGATAGTGTCGGGCAGAGAGAAGTGGAAGTTAGAGGTTCAGTGGAGAGACGTACATCAGGAGAGGAGAGAGAGAGGGAGATCCACATCTGTGCAGTCTAACACCGCAGGGCTGTATTTTCACACATACAAACCTCCTTTAAAAACACATAGCTTCATTCTGTTACAAAGATTTTCTGTTCTTTGAGAGTCAAATGATCCCGGTTCCTAGGTTAACCAGAGTGGATTTTCAGCGGTGCAGGTTTTACTTCTTTATTCCAGTAAAATGAAAAGAGCTGCCGCAGGCCAGACTGCTGTGACTTTAGTATGATAGATAACATAGAATCACAGAGTGGTTCAGGTTGGAAGGGACCTTCAAGATCATCCCATTCCCCCCCTGCCCTGGGCAGGGACACCTCCCACCACACCAGGTTGCTCCAAGCCCCCTCCAACCTGCCCTTGAACCCCTCCAGGGATGGGGCAGCCACAGCTTCTCTGGGCAACCTGGGCCAGGCTCTCACCACCCTCACACCAAACAAGTTCTTCCCCACAGCTCAGCTCCATCTCCCCTCTTGCAGGGTCCAACCCTTCCCCCTCCTCCTAGGGCTCCTGTAAGAGGTTCAGTGGATACACATACATCAGGAGAGGAGAGAGAGAGGGAGATCCACATCTGTGCAGTCTAACACCGCAGGGCTGTATTTTCACACATACAAACCTCCTTTAAAAACACATAGCTTCATTCTGTTACAAAGATTTTCTGTTCTTTGAGAGTCAAATGATCCCGGTTCCTAGGTTAACCAGAGTGGATTTTCAGCGGTGCAGGTTTTACTTCTTTATTCCAATAAAATGAAAAGAGCTGCTACAGGCCAGACTGCTGTGACTTTAGTATGATAGATAACACAGAATCACAGAGTGGGTCAGGTTGGAAGGGACCTTCAAGATCATCTCACCCCACCCCCCTGCCCTGGGCAGGGACACCTCCCACCA